TTTAAGAACAACATAACAGCATGTATGTTTTTTCTTTAAGAAACTTGTAGTGCAGCAGACAAGTTAAAACATGTGGTAATGCCTATGATACAGTATAAAATATTAGAGAAGGGACTACATTGAGGACAGAAAGGTTATGTTAGGCAGGGTGGAGTCATGGAAATTTCATAGAGGAGATGCTGGCATTTGAACTGGACCTTTCAGGAAAGTTAGAATCTGGATATACTAATCCCTGGACAGGAGGAAATGTGATAAAACACACTCCTAGGATATGAAGAAGAATGCAAAAAGGCCAGAGAAGAAAAATAGATTATCAACAATCAAATAATTGTATTTGATTAGATCAATAATAACCACATCATTTTTTTCTTTCTACCTGATTTCAAAGATTTTTTGCATGGGACGATGATGTAGGCATTAGAATTGAGTAGGTGATTACAGGAAGTTGGTAAAAATCAAGTTCTTCAGTATTTATTTCTGACGGCCTGCTTGTGACCAGTATTTCTCAAAACGCCTGGGAAATTAGTACCCACAAGCTGAATAAGATGTTCATGAGAATGTCAGAGAGCCTGTTTGTCAACCTTAATTGACAACTGATGTTTAAAAGACAATAGAGTAATTCTTACAATTTAACGGGAACATATTGCTATTTAATGCCAGAAGAGGAAGAACTAATGTATGCAAAGGCCTGTAGAAATGAGGGATATGGACAAAATAATCCCCTTTTTGTTTCAGGAAAATGTAAAGTAGTGCCCCAGGGCTTGTTGGCAAATATTATCATCTTTGAAAGCTACTGCTTAACACAAATTCTGGGAAGCTGGAGGCTTCTGGGTAATGTGAATCACAAGGAAAGAATGCCCTGTTTTGTGGCTGAAACTTTTTAATGGAATACTGGTTGATCTTAGTAAAGAAGGCCAGGGGTCAGGGTTAGTTTGGAAAAATTTTCAGCCTGTTCCTGTAGAGGCCCTTACATAGGGCCCTGGTTTTGGTTTGCTTCTTTTTTGGCCAATCTGATTAGAACGCTTCATGTGAACACCCGCCAATGGGAGCCACTCACGTCTTTAGGGAAATGGCTTTCTTTCTCCCTGCTACATGGAATTATAAGTCTAAGAATTTTTCTTAACTTAAGACCTAGCTTAACAGGGTTCTATTCATCCTTTTAAATGAATATTTATTAAGCACTGATTGCATACATGGTTCCTGCCTTTGAGGATTTTGGTTTAGTGGTGAAATACATATGTGTGTGTATCAGGATCCAGGCAGTAAAACATACAAACAGTAATTAATAAACAATGATTATAATGTGATCAGCAGTGAAGTAGTTCTCTACAGTAAATGCTATGGAGGTTGGTTGTCTGAACCTCTGTGTGCTGGGGATGGCTTCAGAAAAAGATATTATTTGAGCCTCTTTGTGCTGAATAGGTTTATGGTAGGAAAAGGCATGGTGGAGGGTAGGGTAGGAAAGTCTCGGGGGGTAAAAGCGTATGCTATAGTCAAGGAATTACAAATGGCTCTGTGGGGTTAGAGCATCCATGAATGAGAACAGCACAGGAGGTGTGGCTGGACCAGGACCAGCCTTGAGTTTAGGATGAGGAGTCAGCCTTGGCGAGGACTGGCAAGTGTCATTGAACGTTTCTGCCCAGATCTACACTACATGAAAATGTGTAGAGCAAGAGACTAAGAGACGGAGGAGAGTTAGGAAGAGGAAGGGGGGAGTAGGGTTTAACCTATCGGGAGCACACAGAGGGCAGGGGAGCCCAGCAATGCCAAGATGTAGCATGTGTAGGACGTGGTGATCTAAATATAAATAATGAGGGCGGATAAAGGGAGTTAAGGCAATCCATGGAGTGACAGTGATGGTGCCGTTTACCCAGGAGAAGAGGACATTTTGTATTTGTCTTTGTGGTTGTCTCCATATGCCGGTTTTTATTTTTGGCTGTAGTTCCACAAGCCAATGGAATTTTAAATGGAAAATGTTAAACATGCCTAAATGGTTGCAGCCTCATTGCTGATAGGGAAAGAGTAGATGGCACACCCATTAGCCAGCTTGCTTCTTAGAGGAGACATGGGTTCTGCAAGCACAAAATGACAAGGCAAGGTGATGAACAGTGTGCAAGGTGCTAAGGAGCTGGAGGAAGAATTAGCCTCCAACTTTGCCTGGGCTAGAAGCTGAAGCAGGGTGTTTGTAAAGGCTTCCTATAGAAAGGGACTCTCAGGAGGCTTGAGAGATGAGTGGGAATTTTGTAGGTAGAAAAGTGAGAAGAAAAGTGTGTGCAAACATCTAACAAATGAGAGAACATGGCTTATCTGGGAAGTGGCAAATGGCCCACTCTCATTAATCCCGGTTTGACAGGGAGAGAATAACATGAAATGAGGCTGGGAAGGTAATCACGCAGAGAGCAGTAAAGGTCTTCATGCAGTGATAAGAAGTTAAAATTTTTTACCCTGTAGTTGATGAGGAGTCATTGGAGAATTTTGAGGAGAATCTTTATAGCTGCCAATCACTTGGTAACTCACTCATTCACTCACTCACCAAATATGATCTAGGTTCAATGCTGGGCCACTGTGTTGGCAATACAAAGAATGAATAAACAAAAGATATGTGATAGAGAACACCAGCTGTTTTCCAAAATGTACTTCTTCTTCTGCCTGGAAACATAGCTAGATCACACTTCTCAGCCACCATGCTAGGCTAATTTTTCTATTTTTTTTGTAGAGACAGGGTCTCACAATGTTGCCCAGGCTGGTCTTGAACTCCTGGCCTCAAGTGTTCTTCCTGCCTTGGCCTGCCCAAGTGCTAGGATTACAGGTGTGAGCCTCCGTGTCCAGTGTGTTTGGGCCATCTTTGTGGGTGGCTCCATATCATGTCTAGCCAATCTTGTTTCATCTATACTCCCATCTCACTCCCCCCTGCTTAGATTGTTTTAAAACAAATCCCCAACATTGTATCATTTTATTAATAAATATTTCAATAGATATCTCAAAAAAAATAAGAACTCATACCATATTCACACCTAAAAAAATTAATAATACTCTTTTTACTAGAATCCATTATCCAGGCAGCATTTAAATTCCCTTAACTATTTTGTATACACTTATATAAATATACATATACTTAGGAATTTTTTAATTTAAAGTCTATATAGTAAAATTAGTTGATATAATCATTAGGTCTCAATCTGTGGGTCCATCCTTCATTTTTTTTTTAAAGGATTACATTTATCTGTTGAGGAAACTAAGTTATTTGTCTTGTCCCACAGTCTGTATTTTGATGATTGCAGTGTTACCATGTTTCTTTCCTCCCTGTATTTCTCGTAGAGACATCAGTATTTAAGGAGTCATCAAAGAAAGAGGGGTTTCCAAATAGGCCATTTTGCTGAATGGCCTAGTGTTAAGATCCATATGTGGCCTAAAATTAATGCATTATTCACAGAATGAAGTTTTGGAATGTAGGAAAAAATTTGAATTCTTATTTTTAAATATAATTATTATCACTAGTTATTTAAAAATTGAGTATCAAATTTGAAAAATTATAGAGTAGAAATGATCCTTTCTCAGTACTATTTCTTCCTCTGTCTTCTGTGGTCAAATATCTGCACATTTATAATACTGAATTGTTGTTTGCTTTCAGTTGTAGTCAGTGGAGGTATTTTGGGATATCCTATTGTTTTCTAATATTTTCTTCTTTATATCCTTCATATTCTTTCTTGTGTTTGTACCAGAGGTAACTTATTGTTGTTGTGTCTGGATTTTCGAGAGTTTTCTACTTGCAAAACTTTGAGGTGACAAAGTTGACATTTTCCTTTTAATTTATCCTTAAAAGACATGAAAGGATCTCAAATAGGACTATTTCTTCAAAGACTCATGGCCTAATGCAATTAAAGAGTGGAAAGTTAAATATCATTCTTAAATGTAATTTTATTTATTTTTATGAATGTTAGTATACCAAGAAATCCTATAAAGAGTAAAATTGTAACTTATCTTTACTATTTTGACTTGTATTATTTTTAAAATTTTAGAAACACTTTGATTCAAAGGATATAATATTCTCACTAAAGATATCTAGCCAATATATCATTTACATTTATAAACTATTATAGATCAGTTTATATTTATATTAACCAAAATATATTTCCTTATTTAAGTATTTGAAAGCCTTTAATTGTTTTTGTACATGAAACAGACAGCTGTCACAATTGTCATTACTATGATTTTACTTTTGTAGTGACACATATTTTTCAACTGATAGAGTTTCTGCATATATAGCACTGAAGATTTTCACTCTAAGCTACATCTATAATGTTTATATTTGAAAGTGAATATTTTGATATTAACAATAAATCTGAATGACATGATTTTCCTATATTGTAGGGGTATGATCAAATATGATGGAAACCTACACTAGCACACGATTATCAGTACGCACAAGTTCAGGGATGTGGAAATAACAATGAAGTTGGCATTCAGTTATTTGGCCTTTCAAAACTGAAGCTGAATATTAGCCAAATACTGAGGTGGAAGGACACTGAGAGAAAATGTTCAGATGAATAAGAGAACCAGGAAAAAATAACTAATTAATTTAACAAATATTTATTTAGAGCCTATTGCAGGCTGGGCACTGTTGTAGGTACTTGGGAGACATTAGTGAGAAACACAGACAGATCCCTGTCTTCATGGAACACACACACTGTCATGTGATGGAATCAAGGAAACTGAGCAGGACAGAGGTTCAAGGAGGGAGGTATGATCAACACTTTCAAGTCTAGGCCAATTAAGACAAAGACTAAAAAATGCCCAATGGGTTTGGCAATTAGGATGTTAAGCTGGTAGACTTGGTGAGAACACTTCTAGAAGAATTGTTGTGTTGGAGGCCAGATTACCAAGGGCTGAGTAGTGAATGGGAGGGGAAGAAGTAGAATGTCTTAGTCTGTTCCTGCTGCTATAGCAAAATGCTTTAGAATGAGTAATTTATAAAGAACAGAACTTTACAGTGCGGGCGCAGCGGCCCTGGCCCTGGGAGCTCCCGGGCGGAGCGCGCGGCCGGGCGCGGAGGAGCCGAGCAGCCCTCGGAGGGCGCGGGCCGGGCGGGGGCCGGGCGGGGGCCGCGGCGTTGGAGCTGCGGGTCCTTCATGATGAGAGATTTTGGGGTACTTCTTTCTCCTCCGTGTAGTTGATAGTTTGGGTGGTGAAGAGATGGCTGCCAGTGTAAAAACCTTTCTCCAGGACCTTGGCAGGGGAATCAAAGACTCCATGTGGGGTATTTGTACCATCTCAAAGCTAGATGCTCGAATCCAGCAAAAGAGAGAGGAGCAGCGACGAACAAGGGCAAGTAGTGTCTTGGCACAGAGGAGAGCCCAGAGTATAGGGCGGAAGCAAGAGAGTGAGCCACGTATTGTTAGTAGAATATTCCAGTGTTGTGCTTGGAATGGTGGAGTATTCTGGTTTAGTCTCCTCTTATTCTATCGAGTGTTTATTCCTGTGCTTCAGTCAGTAGCAGCCCGCATTATCGGTGATCCATCACTACATGGAGATGTTTGGTCATGGCTGGAATTCTTCCTCACATCAATTTTCAGCGCTCTTTGGGTGCTGCCCCTGTTTGTGCTTAGCAAAGTTGTGAATGCCATTTGGTTTCAAGTAGGTCCAGGGCAGAATGGAGTCTGGGTAGTTATAGCATGATGGGTTGACAGGTGACAAGTTTCAGTCTGTGAAGTTAGTGGCCATATAGGGACCTATTTTTCAGACTTGACCTTTCTTGGCCAAGAAGCCAGTGGGTGATCTTTGTCTTCATCTCATTGCTAGATGTCTGGGGGCTTTTCTTACCTGGCAGTTCTAGTGGCAGAGCAGTGGCCTTAGCTTTGGGGGTGGATATCAGAGCCATTTAATTAATGTTTTTGTGTATATTCTCTGTTGCAGGATATAGCTGACCTGGCATTTGAGGTATCAGGGAGGAAGCCTCACCCATTTCCTAGTGTCAGCAAAATAATTGCTGACATGCTCTTCAACCTTTTGTTGCAGGCTCTTTTCCTTATCCAGGGAATGTTTGTGAGTCTCTTTCCCATCCATCTTGTTGGTCAGCTGGTTAGTCTCCTGCATACGTCCCTTCTCTACTCACTATATTGCTTTGAATATCGTTGGTTCAATAAAGGAATTGGAATGCACCAACGGTTGTCAAACATAGAAAGGAATTGGCCTTACTACTTTGGGTTTGGATTGCCCTTGGCTTTTCTCACAGCAATGCAGTCCTCATACATATTAGTGGCTGCCTCTTCTCTATCCTTTTTCCTTTATTCATTATCAGCGCCAATGAAGCAAAGACCCCTGGCAAAGCGTACCTCTTCCAGTTGAGACTCTTCTCCTTGGTGGTCTTCTTAAGCAACAGACTCTTCCACAAGACAGTATATCTGCACTCTGCCCTGAGCAGCTCCACCTCTGCAGAGAAGTTCCCTTCACCACATCCGTCTCCTGCCAAACCGAAGGCTGCTGCAGGCCACTGAGTTGCCTGCCACCCAAAGGCGATGGGTGGGATTGGAGGGAGGCTGCGGCAGCTCTGTTCCCTGCTCCCCTCCGCCTGCCAGGGAAGGCAGGACCCACGCTGCCAAGGGCCCTCTGCATATTCACTTTCCTCTGAGGAATTGGAAGGTTTGTCTCTGGTGCACGTAAGGCAGAATCTTCCTGACACCAGTGTGTGGATTCTTAACACCACTGTGAGTCTGAAAGGACCACAGGTTTTTCTGCAGCTATTTTCTAGCATTTGCCATCCCCTGTGCCTGGACTGATTTGAATACTTTGATTTTTCTCCCTGTGCCATTTTACCCTCCCACCTTTCCTGCCTTCTACCACTCTTGGATGAATGGATTTTGTAATTCTAGCTGTTGTATTTTGTGGATTTGTTATTTTTGTTTTTCTGTGAAGCACATACGTTGGATGTGGGAGGTAAAGGAGTATCAGTTGCTCCTGGTAACTCCTTTTATAGCCATCACTGTCTTGTTTCTTGTAACTCAGGTTACGTTTTGGTCTCCCTTGCTCCACTGCAAAAAAGAAAAAAAAAAAAGCCTGAAAAGATGAAGCGATGGGACAGGAGGAAAGACCTCACAGCCAGATCTGCCAAGTTTTGGAGTGATTTTTTTTTTCTTCCCTTTGAAGGGGAAAAAGCTTTTTTCACTGGTACATTTAAAACCCCCAACTGTGGGGAGGTACCAATTCTGGCAAGTGCCACTGCAACACAATACTCAGAGAACCTGAACTTTTCAACTCAGGGGGAGCAGAAATTTACTGTTGGCCACCGCCTGATCTGTCTGGTATTTCAAAGGAATATTGGGTGCTACAAATAGGAACTGAAGGGGTAAATTATTAAACCCATTAAATCCTGTGATTGGTTGGTATTTTCCTGTCATTATAAGAGACTAAATATGGGGGGAATGTCAAAATACTTGTACGATTTTAAAATTTCACAATTAAACGTGAGCTGGTTTCCTACAAAAAAAAAAAAAGAACAGAACTTTATTTTTCATAATTCTGGAGGCTGAGAAGTCCAAGATCAAGGTACCACCAGATTCGGTGTCTGATGAGGGCCCATTTCTTATAGATGGCACCTTCTTTGTGTCCTCACATGACAGAAAGGAGAAGGCAACTTCTTTCAAACTCTTTGATAAGGGCACTAAGCCCTCATTATGTGATCACTTCCCAAAGTCCCCACCTCTTAATACATCACATCGGGTGTTAGTATTCCAACATATGAATTTTGCTGGGGCACAGATTTTCAGACCATAGCATAGAGACTATTGTATAGGATCATTTAGAAGTTCAGCTGTCAGGAGGAGAAAGGGCAGTAGCAAGAAGAAGGGCTGAAAAGATATTTGTTTTAACCTAGGAAAGGCTTGAGCATATTATGCTGATAGCACAAATGAGCATCAACATCTGGAAGAATAAGGAGAATTAGGAAGAGGTCAACAATCAGAGATGAGGTGAGGTAGAGAATTCTTTGAAAGTGCCAGTGATGTAGGGGGTCTCTTTACACTCTGCTGAGATGACCTTAGGAATATGCTCTCCACTTCAAACAGTGACATACAAGGCACTTATTTTCGAGAGCCATGCCAGGAAATGACCTCCAACTGCTGGGTCCTTATTAGGATCCAACCTATCTGAGCACAGAGCTTCCTTCCAAGGCACAGAAAAGACAATCAGAAGTGGTAAGTGCCCCTCAAACCTGAAGCCACCATGTGGGAAGCTTAGGCCGTAGAAATGAGGAACTGGCGGAACTCCTCCTGCTTTGTTTTGGTTTCCAGAAAATCAAAAGTTCTGCACAGGAACTTGGAGTTGCAGGCTCTGAGTGGTAGGATAAAGTCGAGCAAATTGTTCACTGTTCAACGGCACCTAGACTAGGGTGCACATGGGGACCAAAACCCCTCTGTTCACTAAGCCTCATGCCCGGGGCATGGACATGAGACTGCAACCTCAGCACATTGTTTTTTTTAAATTCATACAGACCGCATATGAGCTAGCAGCAGTCCTGGATAAACTCAGACGGATGCTGCTATAGGAGCTCTATCCACTGACTCAGACAAGGGAATGATTTCTTATCTTTTAGGAGCTTAATTCCACACCCTACACCCAGAACACAATTAGGTTTCCAAAATCTAGGAGGGCCTTCTTGAGTAGGTACTTTTTTAAAGTGGTGTCTCTGATAGCCAAGGAATCATCCACAGATGAGTCACACAGTGGCAGTGTGAATATTAAAGAAACACATGGGAAAAATCTGCAACCTCATTAGACAACAAAAAAAGTAGAATAGAGCAGCCTTGAGGCAGCATTTTAAACACATCAAAATTGAATAATTATGCCCTATGTGGGGAAGTTGGTGATGAAACTGTCACATTCACAGGACAGCTGGCATCATTTGAGGACAAACTCATTTGGAAAGCAACATGGCAACATGCATCAAGAACTATAAAGATGTTGCTATACTTTTTTCCCACACAGTTATCCCATGCCTGGAAATTTATCCCATGGACTTAATTCAGGACAAAAAAAAAAAAAAAACAACTGTATATATGAAGTAGTTTATTGCAACATTATCTATAGTGTCAGGTAAATAATGGAAGCTCAAGAAACAATTATGCATTGATCTAGCAGTAAATGAATAAAAGTTTCTGCTACAGGAACATTCTATATAGAGGGTGGCTCTATGATAATGGGATGTTTTCAGAAGTCATATGTGCAAAATATGTCCCATTGTTTTATAACCAAATAACTAAAAGTAGACCTACGATTTGATCCAGCAATCCTATTATTGGGTATTTACCCAAAGGAAAAAAAGTCATTTTATCAAAAAGACACTTGCACTCGAATGTTTATAGCAGCATAATTCACAATCACAAAGATGTGGAATCAATTCGAGTGTCCATCAGTACATGAGTGGATTAATAAAACGTGGTGTATGTATACCATGGAGTACCACTCAGCCATAAAAAACAAATGGTGAACTAATACCTTTTGTAACAACCTGGATAGAACTGGAAATCATTCTTCAAAGAGAAGTATTGCAAAAATAGAAAAGCAAACACCACATGTACTCACCATTAAATTGGAATTAACAGATCAACACACATGCACATATGATGATAAAACTCAGTGGAAATCAAGCAGGTGGGAGAGGGGAGGAGAGGATGGGTAAATTCACACCTAACGGGTACAATGCGCATTATATGGGTGATGGACACACTTATAACTTTGACTCAGCCTGTACAAAAGCAATTCATGTAACCAAAACATTTGCATCCCTGTAATATTCTGAAATAAAAAAAACAAATAACATATACAAGTTATACAGTGGTTTCTTTTGTATTTACAAGTGATCTTTAGCAAAATTTTAACAAGGAAAACAATCTGGGCATTGCTTAAATGCTTAATATATAGTAGTAGTGAGTAGTGGCTCTCAAATTTAATTGTACCTCAGAGTCACCTGGAGGACACCCCCCGCCCCTGAGATTCTGATTCAGTGGATTTGGGGTTGGGCCTGAGAATCAGCATTTCTAACATATTTCTAGGAGATGCTGATTCTGCTGGTCCTGTGGCCTTACTTTGAGAACCACTAGTTTACAGTAACTTTAGCTTTTGCTCAGAGAGTCACAATTATCACTAAGTGTCTGGAGTAGAAAGCAAAAAAAAAGACACGAATTCCTTGAGGTCACAAATTTTGTCTTGCTCATCTATGTATTCCCAGCACCTAACCCCATGTAGTGTCTACATAAATACTTTTTGAATTTAGTTGCATCCATAGTCAGAAATTTCAATAAACAGTGCAGATCTTCACTTTCCGATTTCTTACCATCCACTTGGTCATAGTAGTGTTCATGTTGAAGCCATCCTGGTTGGCACAGGCTCTCTGAGCTGACTGTTGGAATAGCCAAACTGATGCTGAGGGCGGGCGATGAAGCAGGCAGTGAGTTTTGCTATTGTTATTTTCTGTGCCTCTTAGACCCCTGGGCTTTCAACAACAGAAGCTGAAAATTCGACTCTCTGGCCTAGCGGTGAGGAAAGGTAAAGAGAAGCAGCAGACTTGAGTCTATTGGATAGATGTACTACAATTAAAGAAAATACAATTAAAATCTCTATACAGGCTTCTTTGTGTTTTCACAAATTGTGGGAATGCTAGTCACATGCTTTCATATTGCTCCGCAAAAGGGTTTTGCTGTGGATTTTAAATTTTACTTCCAGTAATAAAGTTTCTTTATAGCTTTGCTGATGTTGGATGTTATTAATCTTTTTCATTCTTTTTATTTTAGGGAAAAAATTATATTTTTATTGTTTTAAGTTACATTTCCCTGACTCTAGTGAGGCTGAACATATCTCACATCTGTTGTCCATTTGTATTTCTTATATGACTTGTATGTTCTAATTTTTTGCTTATTTTCAATTGGGTTGTCTGTCTTTTCCCTACTTGTTTGTAATTAGTTTTTCTGAGTTATGAGTAGTTATCCATTGCTGGATGTATCTTCTCTCAGTCAGTCGATTGTCTTTTAATATTTTTATGGTGTCTGTCCGTATATATATCTTTACAATTTTTATATAGTCATTGCCATTATTTTTGCTTTTCACTTCT